GCGTTTATGCCTATGTGATGAAATGTATTCTCAGTACCTCGAGTGGACCGTTCCTCTTCTTTGCCTCTAACTACCTCTCCGCTAGTGTGAACACCACAGTCATTCTTGAAGTGCCGTCTCTGTGTGGTCTCGGTTAAGGCGTCCGCGACAGTTTCAATAAGAAGAGCAGCAGTAGTGTCGATAAGGAGAGAATTGTGCCTTGGGCTTGGGCTGATATATTTATTTTACCGTCAGCTGTTTTCATTCGTCTCTTGCTCTGCTGGGAGGACTCACGCCGCTATTTTCTCTAAAGCGCAGACCCAGAAATTTACGAGGGATGTCAACCACACCGGTGAAGCAGCGGAAGCGCAACAAGCGGTGGCTGAGCCTCGAGCTTCCCTCCGTCGAGGAGATTGCAGACATTCCTGATGAGGTGCTTGCAACTCGTATTCTGCCGAAGGGGTTCTATCTGTGGTTCCTCATGCANCACATGCGCACCATGTGTGCAGCGCTTTCCGAGGATGTGTTTCTCACTCGTGGTGTCTTGGACTACTTGTATGACTACACCCGCTGGGGTCCAAATAAGGCGCACAACACACTGTTTCTCTGCGCCGCGTTCAACCGGGATAATCAATGCCACAACGGCTTTCTATGCCGTGAGGTGCATTGCTCTCTCAGTGTGGATGCAGCTGTGGAGGCCAGCACCTACAACGTCTTCAGTAATGCAAACGGCTCCCCAACTCTGGCGGAGGAGGAGGAGGGGTCACCGTGTGTTCCACAGAAAGTTCTCTTACGGCACTCACTACATTCTCGATGGACGCCGTCCTGGGCGTACCCGACGCTGCCCAAAGGCGTCATATTCCGCGTCGCACTGCCCAACAGTCCGAAGCCTGTGGAGGAGTACGACAGTGGGCGTCTCTTTGTCACCAAAGTTGTACGGGATCACTACGACCGTCTGTTGCGCAATGAAGCACCTGTCATGACGCTGCAGCACTGCGCCAACTTCTCCAAATACGGTGTGTGCTGCTTTGGCGAGAGCTGCCAGTTCGTTCATGTTGTGCATTACGGAGTGCGCCCGGAGTCCTTAACGAGCGATGACACCAAATCCGTTGCGAGCGAGCGAAGCAACGACAATGTGTCCCCGATTAGCCGTAGCCGCAGCCGAAAGGGGAAGAATGCGTCCATTTCCGATGGCACGGCGGGTATTTCCAAGACAAGTCAGCCGACTACGGTTTTCTCAGCACTATCTTCCCCTGGGGCATCTCTAACGGGCGTACCGCTCGCAGGCGCTTCACAAAGCAGTACTTTTGACGGTTCCTTTACTACTGCTCCGTACCTGATGATGCCCCCGCCGGTGGTACAGACTTCGCAACAGCCTCCGAAATATGAAAACCCACAGTCACAACAGCAATGCCAACAGCTACCATATATGCCGCCAGAGAGGTTGAGCTGCTTTAGCGCGATGGGAGCACCGTTTCTCATGGTCCCTGAGCCGAGGATGGCACAGCCGCCACCGCAACCAGAGCACCCGCCGCGACAGGTGTTTACATTCATGGCCCCATCGCCAGACGGCCAAATAAGAATGATGCCGCAGCTCTACGTCATGCCGTACTGAACGCATATTGTAGAGGAGGAGGGTGAAAGAGAGGGAGAGAAAGTGTGCTTACTTTCGGATGTCCCTGTGTAGAAAGTAAAACCCAAATAAATTATTTGCGATCGTCTTTTAGTGCTTTAAAGGAAGCGCTTTTGGGTGTTTTTAAAAAATATCTTCTTTTTTTTTCGGGGTTGGGGTGTTTTGCCTTTTCCAAAGTAATGCTTCCCGTTCGTCGTCCTTGTTTTCCATGGGGCTCAACCACACTTACACTAAATGGAACAAAACACGATAGAAACGGAGAGAAAAAGAAAAAAAAAAACAGAAAGAAATCAACAACTTCAATGCGCAAGCAACGCCCAAGCCGAGAAGAAGAGTAGAAGCGTTGAATGGGGTGGCACGCGGGCTGACAAAAAGAAAACACAGGCGCTTTGTGGCTTTATTTGACTACGCGATGACTGCGTATTTGTGTTTGTAATGCCTGCTGCTGCCGCCTGCTTTGGACTGAGCCTGCCGGGTGGAGAGTGGCAGGGAGAAACGAAATGAATGGTGCGATCGGTAACGTTTGTTTTACTCCTTGTTTGGTTTGGTTTTGTTCTCGTTTTTTGGGCCGTTTATTCCGTAGTTATTTGTTTTTTTTTTTTCATCTGTTTCGTTCTTTTTCATCTTATTGCTGCGCGCACGATGCTCCACACCTAAGCCGCCCTTTTTTTGTTGTGTTGTTCTGTTTAGTTGAATTTTTTTTTGTTGATTTTTTTTTTTTTT